GCGTCACTCTCCGCATACCGGAGGGCAGCGCTGCCGTGGCGCACACCGTCCAACGACGCGTCCAGCCATCCCGCCACGTCCTGGGACCGCTCCGCCCCAAAGACGGCAGCCGCGGCGCCGACGCAGTGCGCCAGTGCCTCGCAAGCCAGCTCCTCGCCGTCACCGGCATGCAGGCAGCCGCGAGCCAGCTTCCCGGCAACCGCAGCGAACGCCGGAGCCGGGTCCGCAGTTGCGTGGCGCTGTTGGAGGCCCTCGCTTGCCGCTGACAGCGGGACAAAGCGCCGCTGCGCCGCATCCCATTCGGTGTGCTGCACGAAGCTCCAGAGCGGCAGGCAGCACGCCGCGGCAGCGGCCGCGCCCGGCCCCGCGTCGGCGCCGCCGCAGGCCGAGCCGAGGAGCGCGTCCGCCGCCTGGCAGGCAGCTGCCACGGCCGGCAGGCCCGCCAGCCCCAAGACCTGTGCAGCCGTGCGCCATGCCAGGCCGACCCGCAGCCCTAGCACGAGGGCAGCCTGGCCCTGGGATGCCTCGCTCGAGGCCGCCGCCTCCCCAGCTTGGGCGCAAAGCGCCAGTAGGGACTGGCGGGGTCGGCAGGGGGGGTTTTGGTGGCTGGTGGTTCATATGTGCGTCAAGCGCAAGCATCAGTTTGGTTCTAAGGTGCTTCCAGAAACAGCCAAGTTTGAAACTTTGGCCTGATGCCAGCCTCAGCAATGTCCTGCATTTGAAGCCGATCACCACACCACAGCTGCAGGCCCAAACGCGCTGCCGCGCCGCGCCCCACCTGCATCGCCTGGCCCGCGCCCTGCCACGCGCGCGCTACCGCCGCCGCGCCGCCCGGCTGCGCGGCCGCGCTGCCCACTGCGGCCCTGAGGGCGGCCTCTGCCAGCTGCAGTAGGGGCTCAAGCTCCCCTGGCAGCAGCGGCTCGGATCGCTCTGCAGGAGGGTTGTCGCGTGAAATGCAGGGTGGGTGCTGACAAGACAACTCAGCAACAGACATGTGCACATACATGCAGAGGACGCGGCTGTGGCGTCTGCTGGTCAACCATCCTACTGCCCGCTGCAGCAGGAGCGGGCGTTGGGGTCAAACAAAGAGGGGCGGGCGGGCGGGTGGAGCGCAGGCGTAGGGGACAGCATACCACCGTTGGCAGGGACTGATGGGCTGGCCTGCCTGGCCGCATGCACACCTGTGGCGCGCTTGGCGCAGAGCGCCGCCTGCAGGCCCGCGAACGCCACCAGCGCTGGGCACAAGTCGGCCGCCGACGAAGCCACCGCCTCCGCCACGGTGCTCGCGCCCCGCAGCGCCCGGGCGCGCGCCTGGGGCGTGTGGTGGCCCGCGGCAGCCACGGCAGGCGCCTGCAGCGCGGCGATCAAGCGCTCGGCCGCTACCGCCGCCGGCAACGCGTCCCGGCGCGTCCACTCGCTCTTGTCATCCAAGCCACTTCGCAGCTGGCCGTGAGGGGCGCCGTGCATCCACTGCTGCTGCTGCTGCTGCTGCTGCTGCTGCTGCTGCTGCTGCTGGTGCTGGTGGTGCACCCCTTGCTCGCTGCCTCCTCCGCCGCCCCCGCGCTGCGTCATTGTCAGCCCGTCATCCACAAAGACGAGTTGCGCCTGCTTGAGCTTGCGCCGCTTCTTCCCACGCCCCTGCTGGGACAAGGAGCCCCCATCAGCCTCCGCGGCCGCCGCCCCAGCCGGCCGCGGCCCGCCGGGCGGCTGCTGCTGTTGCTGTTGGTGCGGGTCGTCTAGGGGCAGCGACGCAGCAAGCGCGGGCTCAAGGGCCGCGATTTGGTGGGCCAAGGCGTCTGCAGGGTGCAGGGGAAGCGGGCGCGTGTCAGCGTCCGCCACAGTCCGTCACAACATCGTTTAGGATCAGGAAACCGCTCATGTCAATTCATAGCAGCTTACTCAACTGCAAGAACACAAAGGCGGCGCGGCTTTTGGGCGTTCTTGGGGGCTCAGGTCAGCCAGGGGGCACGAGGGGCCGGCTGCGCCGCACCTGCACACTCCGGGGTGCACGTCTCCGCCAGCACCACCCGCCAGCAACGCGCCAGCGGCCCCGCCGCCGCCTCCCCGGCGGGCAGCAGCGGCAGCGCGGGCGCGAGCCGCACGCCCACGCCGGGCGCGGCCGCCACGACCGCCAAAACGAGCTCCAGCCACTCCGCCTGGGCCTCAGCGTCTCCCTTGCTGCTGCTGCCGCCTGCGCCATCACCCCCGCCGCCGCTCCAGTGCACCGCGCGGCACAGCACGGCCAACGCCCCCTCGGCCACGCAGCCGGCGGTGCCGGCATCCGCCAGCGCCGCGAGTGCGTGGCGCAGCGCCCCCGCCAACGCGCGCCGCCACGGCACGCGGGCGCACTCGGGAGGGAGCAGCCCGTCGCAGGCAGCACCGAGCAGCCACAGGCTGTGCTGCAGCGCGGCGTCGGCGGCGGGCGCGTCCTCCGGGCGCAGGCGGGCGACGAGCGACATCAGGTCCAGCGCCGCCTCCTGCAGAGAGCAGTGAGCGGGAGTGAGGGGCGGCAGGGCCTTGACGCCCAAGCAGCAGGGCGGCTCCGGGCTGGGGAACCAAGGCGGGGTGTTCGTTTCAACACAATCGAGGAGCAGTCATGCGGCGACAGCTGCGTACGGTGGGCGGAGCCTGGGCCCTACTTGGCTGCACCTAGGCTGAGCCAGCAACGCAGCGCACCCAGCCCTCGCACCTGCAGCTCCGGGCTGCCACAGGCCAGGAAGCGCCCCAGAGCGCCGGCCAGCGCGCCGGGCGTGCTCGGCCCCAGCAGCAGCGGCACCTGCCTTAGCTGGTGGGCCAGCAGGCGCACGCACAGCAGGGCCAGGGCCTGCAGGTCGGCGCATTGAGGAGGTGGCCGACTCAAGGTCCTCAATATCTCAAACAGATCGATGAGGCCAAATCAGCGGAAGAAATTGCTGCTAAAAGGGAATGTGCAGCAGCCGGGTGTGGCACGTGTGTGGTGTGTCTGTCTCGCGGCGCGCTGGTTACGCAGCAAGGCACCAGAGACGCCCACCTGCCACTCGGCGACGCCGGCCAGCACCACCTGCAGCGGCGTCGCCGCGCCCGCATGCTCCGCCTGGTCTGCCGCACCCACGTCGGTGTCGCACAGCCCCTCCGCACCGCTGCCGGCCCCGCCGCCCCACTGGTGCGCCTGCAGGGCTTCTGCCAGAGCGGGGCACAGCGCCACGCTCTGCGAGGGCGGCCGGGACGACGGCAGCAGCGACAGCCCGAACAGCGCCTGCTCCAGGTCTGTGCGGTTGGGGATTGTGCACGGGTGCGTGTTGTATCAGGGCTGATTGCAGCCCTCCTCCTTTGAAGGGGCGGCCCCGCAGGCCCTCGCGCTGATCATAGAGATAAACGCTCCAGCGAACCCTCCCGGAGACCACGCGCCCGCATCTTGGGATACCGCCCGGACGCACGGGCCGCTCTGCGCCCGGCGTCCCGCTGACCGCTCAAGCGGCTGGCGAGGTGCCTGGCTAGCGGAGTGACCCGCTGACTCATGCAATGGCTGATTGGCTGGCTGGCTGCTCAGTAAATTGACCAACCAATACCCAGCGACTGACCCATGCAGAGGTCGACGAGGCCCGCATGCAGCTCCAGCAGCAGCGCCGTGTCCTGCGCGCCCAGCAGTCGGCTGACACCGCGCAGCACCTGCAGCAGCTGGTCCATCAGAGGGCTGCACATGCGAGGGTGGGCATGGCGTACAGGCGCAATGCGTGAGAGAGCCGAGCGCATTTGGGGGCGATCGAGCGGGCCGTGCATGCGAATATGTCAAGTGTGTAGTGCAAAGTGTGCGTGCTGACTACACTAGGCATGTTGACGCAGCAGGGAACTGAGAATTGCAAGATCCAGCTGCGCTGATCGTTTTTATTGATTATGTGGTGGAAGCAAGGCGCAATGCTGTTGCGAGCGCGATTCGCAGCCAGAACGGACCACCGTCTCTGGCCCCGCCCTCACTCACGGCGACGCGTACGCGGACGGCTCGGCCAGCAGCTGCAGCAGCTTCAGCAGAGCCGCGTGCTGGGCGCCGCCAGAGAACACCAGGGGCAGGCGCTCCAGCACGACAGTCATGACGCGCAGCACTGAGAACGTCTCCTTCTGCTTGACTGCGCGCGCATGCCGTATTCAGTGATCCCGGATAGGGTTTGGTGTGCAGTTGGGGAGGTTGCATGAGCGTGGGTTGGTGTGCTGCATGAGTACCGCATGCATGTGGGTGAGCCTTGCTGTATGCGTTTGTTTTGCTGCCAGCAATGTGCTTGAAAAGAAGCCCAAACATACATATGTAGTAATTTCCACCTCCTTGGAGGCGGCCGTGCGAGCGGCCTGGGGACAATGGCAGCATGCACAGCACGCTGCCGCCCAGCAGTGCAGCGCCGCCTACCTGGACGGCAGCTGAGGCAGCTGTGCAGCAGCGCAAATAGCACGGTGCGCAGGCGGCTGAGGACGACGTCCTCGCCACTGCCGCCGCCTTCGCTGGGCGGCCCCCGCGCCTGCTGCTGGCTCGTGCCACCGCATACGTCAAGCGCCTTTGGTAGGACGGCCTGCAGCTCCTGAAGCAAGACATTGAGTGATCTGGACGCCATTGCAGGTGCTTACAGCCCACCGCTGCAGGCAACGTAGCAGCCTCGCGCCCTTCAGATCATTTCACAAGGTCGGGTGCTCGCTTGGACGAACCAGTGTACGTGTTTTCAGTCAATATCATGTTGCAACATTCACCAAGAACGCTATCATGATGCGGAAATGATACGGTTTCCATCTTGCGCATTTTGAAGCGGAACGCCGCTGGGGCCACAGCGTACGCAGCATGATGTCCCGTTGCTCGCGGCTTGCGTCAAGGTGGTGTGTTGCTGTTGCCCCCGCCAGGAACAACGGCATGCACTTGTTTAGTCTTGTACAAGCCTTCACCCAGGGTAGACACCCAGTGCAAAGCAATGTGCAGCCCCCCCGGGCGGCAGTTCTAAAGTGGTCCTCGGTATTGCTGCTGGATTATGATATTCATCGCAGCCACCACATGCACGCATGCAAACAACTGGCGAAGTTGGCGATGGGGTGCCTCGCGCATGACTTGCGCTGTGCTGAGCCCATGTCCATGTAGCAGTGCATATCAATTGAGCTCGATCAACGCAATGCACATATTTGGGTGACACAGCCAATTGATACGAGGTGATAGTATAAGGAGAGGCCAAGCTTATGGATGGGCAGCCGCTCAGTGACAATGTAGACGTGCTTGACCGATGCGTTGACTCACCTGGCGCAACCTCCACAGCAGGTAGCAGCATCAAACAACACAGCCCATTGAGACTCAAATCATAGCATGTTAATGTAGCCTGTTACACCACTCATGGACATGACGGGCATGCTGAACATCTCTGGTTGCTGCAGCTGCTTTGCCGGGCTTCTCCACTCAGCAATCGTGCTGAGCATGTGCTGCATGACTGTGGACAAGGCCCTTCATCAACCCCAAGGCGCTCTGAAGGGGCACTTGTTGAATTTATCATTTTTCTACACTGTCGTGATGTCAACCCGCGCGCCGCACCGCAGATCGCACGCATGAGATAGTGCGGTGCTTGCGGGGAGGCTGGCTCCCAGGGCCATGTCAGCGCCGTCCCATGAGGCTGGGAGCCCCGCATCGATCGATCAGCAGCTGCGGCGGGCCCAAAAGAGGCTCGAGCAGTCTGAGGCGAAGCGCAACAAGCTTCTCGAGCATCTGGTGAGCGGCCTTCATTACTATATTGTTGATGCAAGTATGCAGTTGGCTATGCGTGGTTCTGGGAACCTCGCTAGCTGCAACTGCATGTCCAACCGGATCTGGCTCTGCGCGGGGGGCGCCGCCGCCGGATGGGTTGCCCTGCTGCGGCTCACCTCGCCCTCCCCTGGCGCTCCTCCCCATGCAGGAGGCTTTGAAGGAGAAGACTGTTGCCTTGCTGAGCGTGGCCGAGCGCAACAAGGAGCTGCAGCAGTCACTGGAAGAGGCGGCAGCGGCGCGGCAGCAGCTTGAGCAGCAGCTGGCCGAGGCGGTCGCGGCGCAGCACCGGGCGGAGGCGCAGGCAGCCAGCGCGCAGCGCAAGGTGGGTTCCTGCGGCACAAGCGCCTTGGGTTGTGGAAGTTCGCCGGGCGTCCGACCCAGATCGCCCTCTACAGGTGCTGCTGCGACGCCAGCGCCCGAGGACCCCTCACCCCCCACTCCGCGCCTCCTCTTGCCGCAGGCCCAGCAGCTTCAGCAGGCGGAGAGGCGGCAGCGGGCCAACGAGCCGCACCAGCACCCGCCCATGCCGCCGCCGCCCAAGGCCGGCGCGCGGCAGCGTGCTGCCGCGGGCGCCGGCGGTGGCGGCGGCGCTGCGGCGGCGGCCGGGGGTGTTGCGGCGCTGCGCGGGGAGGTAGAGGACCTGCGACTCCAGGTACGGCGCCTGCAGGAGTCGCTGCGGCAGGTGGACGGCCGCGCGCAGCAGCACGCGTCGCGGCTCACCACGCACGGCACGCAGCTGCAGGCGCTGCAGAGGCAGCTCGGGCGGGGTGAGGGCGGCGGCGGCGGCGGCGGCGGCGGCGGCGGCGCGCTGCTGGGCGGCGCTGCGCAGAGCGGCGCGGACGCGGGCGTGAGCGCGGGCGCGTGGCAGCAGCTCGCGCTGGGGGAGCCTCAGTTGCAGCAGGTGGTGGCCGCAGTGCTGGCGCAGGTGATGCCCGCGATCGCCCCCAGCCTTGCACCTGGGCAGCAGGGGCGGCTGCAGCAGCTGCTGCAGCTGCCGCCCCAATCGGGCGCCCAGCAGCACCCGCACCGCCAGCAGCCGTTGGCAGCCGGCGGCGGCAGCAGGGCCGCGTCGGTGGAACCAGAGTGCTGGAGCGGGGCTCCTATCCCGAGGAATGCGCATGGGGCTACGCAGGCGGCCGCTCCCCCGCCGTGGGCGGGCGCGAGCCTGGCGTATGCCAGCAGCGGCGCTGCGGCCGCGACGCACGCGCCGCCGGTGCGGACGCCGTCGTGCCACCCCGCGCACCACGGCGGATGCGGCAGCAGCGGCGGCAGCCTCAGCAGCGTGATGCACAGCGGCGCGACGCTGCAGGCGCCTGGCAGCCCGGGGCCGGCGTGGCCGGCGGGCGGCGGGGCCGGAGGCACGGGCAATACAGAGGCGACTGCCGACGGAAGCGGGCAGGGCCGGGAACCAGGCACGGACAGAGGCGGGGGTGGGCTGTCGCTGGGGCTGGACAGCAGCAGCAGCAGCGATGACGCGGAGGACGTGGCGCAGGAAGATGAGATTTGCAGCAGCGCCGGCGGCGGCCGAGACGGCGGGGCGCTGGCGCGCGTGGGCGGCAAGCGCACGGCCCCGTCGCCAGCGACGGGCATGCAGGAGCGAGGGGAGAAGCGGCGCCCGCCGCCTGCGGGCCACGCGTCGCAGCAGCAGCAGCAGCAGCAGAGCATGCTGCTGCGCGCAGGCCAGCTGCTCTCCCGCCTGCGCGCCCCGCCCGGCGGGCCCCGGTCCCCCAGCGACGCCCCCGAGTCCGCCGCCGCCGCCCTTGCGTCGGAGGTCGCCCCGGCCGCGTCCGCGGCAACGCTGGCGCAGGCGTTTCGCGCGGCGGCGCTGTCGGGCGCGGCGCCAGCGTGGGACAGCGCGCGCTTTGACGGCGAGCACGACCCAGAGGACCTGGGGGTGATTGCCTGGGCCCCAGATGCCAAGGCCGAGGCCGCGGCGCTGCGCCGCCTCGCGCGCTGCGCGCGGCTGCTGCTCGAGCGGCTCCCGCAGCCGGCCGCCGCGGGGCTCGTCACCGCGCTGGCCGCGCACCTGCGGGCGGCGCTCGGGACCGGCGGCGCCAGCGGCGGGGGTGGGGCCGGGGGCGGCACGGGGCAGGCTGCGGTGGGGGAGCGGCTGCCGCTTGCCTGCGCGGCGGCGGCGGCGCTGGCGGCGCTGCTGCGGGAGCTTGTGCGCGCTGACGAGGCGCGGGCGCTTGTCGCCCATCTGCTGAGCGCGCATCGACGGCCCCCCGCTGGGCCAGGCCGCATGCCCGCGCTACCGCTCGTCCTTGCCGCGGCAGCCGCATGGCCGCAGGCGCTGCTGCCCTCTGCGGCGGCGCCGGCGCCGGCGGGCGGTGCGGAAACGGCGGCGGCCGACCCGAGTCTTGCGGCGCTGCATGCGGGACTGAGGGACGCGTGCGCGGCGGCGGTTGCGTCTGCTGATGGCAGCGACGGCGACGAGGGCGGCGAGCAGGGGGGCGCAGGCGCTGCGACCGCGCCGCAGGGGCGCTGCCAGGCGGAGCGGTGGGCGGCGCAAGCGGACATGGCTGCAGGGTTTGTCCTGCAGGCGGTCGGCCCCGGCTGGTGGGGCGCCGAGTGGGCGGAGGGGTAGCCGTGCTGCCGCGCGTGGCGGCCGCGCCGCAGGGCGCCCTGCTGTAGCACCCAGCTGTCGAGCAGGGCCGGCGCCCTGCGCCCGTGGCTCCGCCGCAGCGGCGCGCAGCTTGTGCATGGCGCCGCGCCAGGCCGCCGCGTGGCTGCCGGCCGGGGCCGCGCGCGTTGGGTTGAGGCAGCTCCTGCTCGCAGCAGCCGGGCACGCGGGCGACGTGGCGTGGCTCGGCCGACTCCTTCCTCGCCCCCTTTGGGTGACAGCTTTTCATTGGGTCGACCGTGACGTCTTCTTTGTGCTGTTGACTGTTGACCGCCTGCCATGTTTCAGACGGCGGGGGGGGGGGGCTGTCAGTCAGAGCCGTCTTCGTCTTCGTCTCCGTCCATAATGTGTGCGCCGGTATCGTGGCCCTGTTTCTCATGACGCGGCGGCAATCTTCTCCCACTCCCTTGACGCTTGCAATCACTCGACACGCGCCGTGCATGCAATATCCTGGTTTTGTGTCTTACCTGTAGGGCTTGTCTATATACTTTTGCTATCAACCGAATATATGAAGTGCTGCCGCCCTCCAGGCTCACTGTTTTTGTGTGTAATGCGTCCATCCAGTGCATCTTCACCTTGCGCTCACGCGGCTTTGCATGGTTCGAGGTTTGTGGGGGTCCGCAGCAGTGGCAGCAATGCAGGGAGGGAGTGCTTGTTCCTGGCCGACACGGTTGTGGGGCTACGGGGGGGCGCCCCGTGCTCAGGGAGCCGACAGAATAGGGTGAGGCAACTGCAGTGACTGCATCCACGGTGGCAACTGGCTGGCTTGCAGGTTCACGACCTATGAGCCAAGCCCAAGCCTTGCAGGAATGCCCATCCGGCTATATGGATGAACCAGCGTAGGGGAGACCACTGCAGCACCTGCTTGAAGCTCGGGTGCGCCCCCTTGACTCAGGGTTGTGGGGCCCCCCATAGGGGCGACATTGGAAGTCCAGCTGCGGTGCGCCTACCAGTTCACCCAGGGAGGCAGCGCGGATGCAGCCTTTGGGCTGCTGCTCACTTACGTGTCCATGTTTCAGGGTTCAGGGTTCAGGGTTCACTATTAAGTCCGAGGCCATAACAGTATCAAGGGCGCGCTTGACGCCGGTCAGCGCGGTCGCGGCAGCAAAAGCAGCAGTCATATCACTGTACAACGGCTCTCGACGGACGACGCAGAACACTATGTGCGTATATGCTTGCTATGAATACCACGCTCTCGTTCATTATTGCTTGACAACACACAACATGGGGGGAGTGTGCACATATGAACAGCATGCCACAAGTGTCTGACGCCCAGCCCGTCTCGATACAGCAGCTGCAGGCCCTTGTTTGCGAAGGGGGGGTGGGGATCATAAATGCAGCCGTTGCCGAAAACCGTGCATGACTGCATGGCTCTGGTACAAATTCTGCAGGAATCAATAGACCCGCGCGGGCAACTGCGGGACCCTGTGTTCATTTGCACCGCCAAAAGGCGTGCCTCGCAGTGCGTGCGCCAGAATAGAGCACGCGTCAGCGCCAGAGCGTTGGCACGCTGCAGACAACACAATTCTGGCGCCGTGCAGCTTCTAGCTGGCAAGCGCTCGGCAGGCCATCTCGAGCGAGTCAGCGTGCAAATCCAGATTGCCATCGGCAACACCACGCCTGGCAAGCAGGTCTTGCCGCCTCAGGCCCGCGCGTAATCGGTTGTCACGAACCCACGCACACGCAGGAATATACCTACAAATTTCTGGGTTTCGCCAACCAACCCGGTCAGGCGACAGTCCGTCCATCTCACAACCCCTGCAACAGGTCGCCGCACTCTGCGGTCGCGGTCGCGCGCAGGGGGGCGCCGCTGCGTCGCAGCTCGCGCAGCACCTCCTCGCGGCTGAGGGCCGCCAGTGCCGTTAAATCGTAGTCTGACGGTTCGAACTGCAGGGATATTGGGTTCAACACAGCAAGGGGGATTCACTGGTGGGGTTTCACTGGTGGGCTCGCCATTGCACGCACGCCAGGGCGACAGTGGGCCAACATGAGGCTGCGTATTAGACCGCTAGATTGATTGGCGCTGCCACGCAGCATGCGTTGCGCTCGCGGGGGCAAGGGATTTGGGCGGGCTGTCAATGGGGGGGGGGGCGTTGTCACATGCGCTGCGTGCTCACGTTGATGGGGGCGTCTGGCCTAAGGAAGAGCAGGGCGGCTACGTCGTACGTCCTGGCTGCGGCCACCTCCGTGTCGAACGATCCGAGATAGATCCTGCGGGCCGGCAGGCAATGACAAAGGGGGTCAGCTGGGGTCGCGCCTGAGGGTGCAGGCCGCACCTTGGGGCCGCAACGGCAGGGGTGTTGTCCCGGCGAGCGCAAGAACGGTCGAGCTTCAAAGAAATCCTTCACATGATACCCCGCCACGCAGGCAAGTGGCCGGCAAGGGGGCGTGCAAGGCTTGCCGCGGCAACTCACTGCCTGCCGCGCTGGCGTTTGGCTTCGCGGCCGCGCATGAAGCTGCCATCCCACAGGTGCGCCTGCGATGCAGAGAGGCGCCAGCGAATGCTGGTTTGTCGACAGCAAACAACACATATGTTGTGGTCTCTCGCCTCTCCCCATGGCTGCGGGGAGCCATTGATTGTGCCATCCACAGCTGTTCCCCACGCAGCGTGCGTGGGGAACAGCTGAACGCCATGCCCTCAGGGCAGCGTTGTTGCTTCCAGCCCTCACACCCGGCGGGAGCGCGCGGTGTCACTGCCTCACCCACCTCAAACTTGCCCGTGTTCTTGTGGCGGCTCACACCCTTCAGCTCAGACGACGCC